CCGAATGTGCACTTTTGTGCACGTAAATGATAGATTATCTGAATGTGCGAATGGAAAGATTAGAGACTGGTCCATATCTATGAAGCGAGTATGAGAGTTTGTGTGTCAGAGAGAGAGTTGTGTGGTACAGCCTGGTGTGATGTATAGAGTGGGTGGTGTTACCTTCTATTCAGGGAGTTTGTTGGGTAGGAGGTGGATGAGTCATGTGCAAACAATTATAACCAATTTCAGTCGCCAAGGAACAAGGGGAAAGTGTCCTCTCCGCTTTAGTTTGTATGAGTGTGTTTTGCATCTTTCAATCTTTTGCCCCTCTCCACTTCATTTATAAATCATTCAGTAATTATCCACTGCAATTGAGCTCGTCGAGGGAGATAAGTTATGCCAATGTTGTTATTTTTATTCACATACTTTATCATTGATATAATCCACAATGACAGCTAAAGGAAGCAGTCTCACTGACAAATAAAGTGGGATGGTGGATCTGCTAAGATAGGTTACTGCTGCAAAAAAATGTTTACATCACAATCTGCTGTGTGTGCAGTTTTGTCCAGAAATGTCCATCCCGCAAATATGCTAACAGATACAATGAAGAATTTGATCTAAGTATAGAAAAGTCCTGTTTCTTTCAAGATTGGGCTCATAGAGGTGCTGTGATCTAGTCATATACATGGAAGAATCTTTAAATATTAACTATATATATAAAAAAATAAAATTATTTACAGATGACTTTAAAAAAAAAGTTTTTTACAACTTCTACACTTGTAACTTTAAAATCAACATGAGTTTCATATCTGCCTTGAGCAGAAGGTCCGTTCACTGGAGGACCCCTTTTTAGCAAGCAGTGGGTGCTTGTGAAAAACGGATCTGTATTCACCATCTACCCTGCTGAGGATGACATCACCAGCCCCACTCTGGACCCAGAGCCCTTTAGCCCTTCCACTGACGCCACTCTATTGTGTGGATTTGCCTCGGGTCTTCTGGTGTCCTGTTCTGCCCAGTCAAAAGGAATACCCGTCCCTGGCTCCGCCGACCTGTCGGCTTCGCCCTCCCTCGGCTCAAGCTGGGACCATCGTCCTTACGGCTCCACCGGGCTCCCTTGTCCCTTCGTCTCCACCTTGGTCAGATGTCACTCTGCCTGCGCCATGGACTTACGGGTCTTTAACCCTCTGGGGACCAGAAACGCGCCGGCGCGTTTTGCTCGTTTTTTTTCACACAGCAGAAAAATAGACTTAAAGTACTACCATAATTTCTGTTCATATAGACTAGAGTTAAGAAATATGAAAAACTAATCTGGTAAATGTCTAATTTTTTATGTGCCCACATACAATCGAAATAAAATATTGTGCTTTTGTAAAATAAAGAAAATAAACAGGGTGTGCCTTCTGCCTCTCGGTCACCGTGAACTTTTTTTCTGGAGCACGTCTCTAGTCTTCAACACAACTCAGCTAATACTATTCACCCAGCCATAAGCAATATATCTTTTAAATCATTTGAGTTTGTAATTTTAAAAGATCCGATTCAAAACTAAAATTAATATTCTCCGTTTATGTCATCTATATAAAAAGAGAGACGTGTCAGCCCGTCTCATTATCGTTCTCGAGCTGATTATCTCTGGTAATGTGACACGCCTACGGAGAGCACGCGCTATTCAAACGCAAATATGTGAAGCAACACATTGAGACGCGTTAACGCCCATAAACTCTGAAAACACACATTATTTTTTAGTCAGATTAATCTACTGTCGTCTTGCGCGGCTATATGAGGAACAATCCTGGGACATTTACCACTGGGTATCAAAATAATGAATCCTCAACTTTGAAATATGTATGATCAAACTAAGACATTTATGGAGAAAGACAATTTTCTTTTCAAGATGTTTCCAACTCTAACTTTGAACTTTGAACTGAAATAAAACCATGTCTATTTGGTGAAGGGTGTGTGATAGAAGTGTCCAGACGTATGCACCCTGTATTTTACTTATATAAATCCAAACAATCTAAAAGCCATTCTTTTTTAAATCTCCTCATTCTTTGTGCAAGGCTCCTGTAATGATATGGCCTGATAGCACCTAATAGGGCCATTATGGGGAGGGTCTTTGTCTTTCTCAGGTGTGGAATGCCACACATATTAATGAGAGATCACGCCTCCTGCATAAAGCTTTCTCAAACAAAACACGTCATTAAAAATGTAAAAGACTTTATTGACTTATCTGAATGAGTAGTCAGGATGATTCTCACATAGTTTTGGAGCAAATATTCTAGGCTATGTGATACAATTTTGAAAAGTCTTGTGAAGAAATAATCAATATGTGTTTTGTGGTCTTATTTCAGCAACTTTCATTTTTATTTTTTTCAATAACCACGCATAAACATTATTCTATTAAAAATACAAACATGTACATACATGTTGCTCAGATATCATGGTAGCCACGTTTGTGCTATATAGAGTGAATTTACACCTTTGCCATTAACATGTTTATAAATAACTGAAAAAAGCACAAATGTCAGTGCATGTCAAAACATCCCAAGGGCCCCAAAAACACTCTGGTCCCCAGAGGGTTAACTATGCTTCGTCCCTCCACCCCCTTGGCCCTGTCGGGCTTAGTCTTGGTCCTCAGTCACACTGGCTACACCTTAGTCCTTTGGCACCCTGCCATCCTGGCACACCCTGGCTCTGCCTCAGCCTCCAAGGACATTGGTGTGGCCAGTCTTGCTCGTCTCCGCCTAGTGCTCCACTTCCATTGGCCTCGTCTCCATCAGTTGTCCTGGAGTCGACAGCCAAGTCTTCACCATGGCCCCTCTTTGCCTATCTGTCTGTGTTCCTAGTTGGTATGGTTATTAATTAGATCTACACCTGTACTGTTTTGCCTGGATTTCTCTAGTATTTAGTCCTTAGTTTCCTCAGTTCTGTGTTCCATGTCATTAACATTTTGTTGTGAGTTATACCCTGGTGATCTCCTGCATGTTCCAATTCATTCCTGAATGTTGGCTTGAGAGCCTTGTTTGAAAATGATTTACATATGGCAGGCAGATCTCCAGCAGATCAGGTTCTTGGTCCGAGCGGTCTATGATATCCTTCCTAGCCCAGCAAATCTCCACATCTGGGGTAGGAAACCCCTCACCAGCATGTCCTTTGTGGCCTGGGAGGGGTTCCCTAGAGCACATCTTAAGCAGCTGTCCAACAGCCCTGGTGGCACAATCAGGTTCTAAAGTCCATTGCAGAGTCCATGGCCAACAACATGCATGGCTGCCACCAGAGGAACATCACCTTTGTCATGGTCGAGGAGCAGCCACATTTACCCCTTTTCCACCGACACGATTCCGGTGAGGGTTCCCGGACTTTGTCTGGTCTCGAACCATTAGGCGCATTTCCAATGGAAAAAAGGGGGGTTCCGGGCCAGAAAGATCGGTTCAACTCCGGCCCTAAAAATTTGCTGGTTTCGAACCGAGCCGGGGAGCAGCGGGCGTAGAAAAACTGTTGCTGTCTCGTTGAGAAATGTAATACGTTGCACTACATTGCTCTTTAAATAACGATTTATAAAACTATGTGCACGAGAGAGACTCAGCGTGCGAGAGAACGTGTGAATCAATGGTTTCAGTTTCTCTCCAAAAAGGATAGATACGAGGTTTGCTCGAATCACTCCCGGTACTGTGAACAGTAAAACAGAAGTGCCGCACAAACACTGGAATGCGCAAATTTTTCTTATAGACTGCTCATAGGCAGGTAAACCACACATAGTAGTGTTATGTCACCGCTCGCTCTTCAAGTCTGTGGAAACATCCGGTCGGTTCGCAACAGGCTCCAGTTCACCTGGCCGAGAACAAGCTCTGAATTTTGCTCTAAAGAATTTATGATTTAGGGCTGTGTTTTAGTTTCAATTTTTATTTTGATATTATGCCGCTTTCTGTTTCTTTCCTTTAGAGTGAAGCGCTGTCACCATATGTAACATCCAAATCAGTCGAATCATGTAATGTCACGTGTACAAGCGTATTGAACAGGCGGCTTTCTGCCTGCGCGATCCGGGATTGTTTTTAAGGTTTAAATACACGCAAAAATATGTCTAAATATCCTTCTTCGGGACTTTTTTACTTAAAACGCATTCAGTTATGTCTTCAATGAACATAATAGCTGGGAAAGTAATCAAATGTTTGTCAGTGTATGGTCAGTGCATCCGGTCTTAAAGTGAACGCAGCCCAATAAACCCGCTGCTCTCTCTGTCATTTATTCTTATTCAAACAACAAAATAAAACGAGAGAATCATTCACTGCTCTTCACTATATAATATTAATAATTTTAATAAGAATCAATGTATATTTAATCCATAAAGACTATGCAATGTTTTATTTATTTAACTTCTATTTCTTCCAGTTGATTACTTTATTAAATTTCTGTATATTAGGCTATTGTTATTAATATTATTGCAAATTAAAAGTGTTTCTATTTGAATATATTGTAAAATATCAATTATTCCTGTGATGGCAAAGCTGAATTTTCAGCATCATTACTCCAATCTTCAGTGTCACATGATCCTTCAGAAATCATTATAACGTGAATTTTCTGCTCAAGAAACATTTCTTCTTATTATCAATATTGAAAACAGTTCTGCTGTTTATACAATAATATTGTATAAATGTGAAAGCCTTTTTGAATAAAAGTATTAATATATATATATTTATATATAATATTTACTGACCCCAATCGTTTGAACTGTCTTACAGACAAAGATATTTATAACCAGACAGAAGAACATTTAATTTCCCAGAAATAAATACCTGTTTAATTGCAATTCGGTAAATTCCACTTCACATCATTCCAGTTCAAATTCCAATTGAACTTTTTGTCTGGCTTTTTTTTGGAAATAAAAGCAATCTTTCAAGGTAATTACCTGTCAAAACTGCCACTTTAACTTGAGGGAGAAATTGAAACAGCTGATCATTTGATCTAAAACATGCAACTGCTTGTTTGAGTGTATGCCAACGCACGTGTCGCGCGAGTCTGACCTGTTTCTCGTTCTCATCCTCTAGTTGCAGGCGCTGCTGGATGCAGTTTCTGGCCTGTAGGAAGGCCTTCCTCTGGGTGCGTTCGGTAAGGACTCGTACAAACACACCCGACAGATTCACGCCGACCAGCAAGACTGCATTTGCTACCAGCTACAAACACACAGAGAGAGAAAAATAACAGGATTTGTGTGACCATCTCTGTTTATCGGACCATGGAGAAAAATTCTGACATTTAAGCAACAATTGGCGACTGAATATGAACTTTCAGTGATTAGGAGTGGTTCGTGTGTGTGTGTGTACAAGAGAGAAAAACAGCATGGAGAGAAAGTAGCTTGAAGACGAGACGGACACAGATGCCGAGAGAGGGGGCAGTGAGTTCATTATTTTCAATCTGTCCTGAGATGATAAACTCGAGCGCGGAGACGGACACAAGTTTGCGCGTGTGTGTGTAAGAGAAAGAAAAAACGGGGCAAGGAGCGAAAGTAGCTTGAAGAAGAAACTCTGCAGATATGCTACTGTGACTGAAAGAATCAGCAATTGCCTGTTTTTGAGACACTTCAAACAGGCAATTGTTTGTATTGTTCATTCATAGAGCAACATAAAATTAGATTACCCAGAATCCCCTCAAATGGTCTATGCATTCTTTTAACAGGCCTTTGTAATTGAAAGTGAAGGCCATTTGCTGAATAGCACAAAGCCGTGGCATTACTACAAATCTTTAGCGAAGTTTCAAGCCTTATAAATTAGGTAATAAACAAAGTGGCCAGCTTGGTAAAAGGGTATTGGCTATTGATCGGTGATTTAGTTTAATTTAAAGTACTTTAAAGTCTTGCAAGATCAGAGCCATTGCAAGCGGCTTATAAACGGCTGACCGTCCTGTATTTTAATGCGTGATGTGCACCAAGGTTACACTGTGACAGTGAGTGAGAGGTTGTGGAAAAAAACCCCTCATTAACTCAGCATGAGAGCGGTGACACTTGTGTCTAGATGTGAAGTGTTCTTGAAGTTTGCAGTGCAATAATGAAATACTGTATATGCTGTGCGTTGTGAGATGCTACCGTTTTAATGTGAAGTGGCACACTGATATTTTTAGATCAGGTGATTTTAATCAGTTTATGTCGATCCTCTTCGCTTAAGGTCTTTGGAGCATTTTGATAGGATTTTAAGACAGACAGTCTTTTCAAAGAAATCAAGGCTTAATAGGTCAACAAATGCAGTCCCTGTTCTCACAGGTTCGGTTTTTGATGATGGAAGCTGCTATTCCTGTGTGAGTGTTTGTCACAAACATCACTTAGCATCCGGCGAGGATGTAGTGAGACATGTGAAACTGTCACAGTGTTCAGTAAATCAGTGGCATAGAGGTTACAAGCTGAACTGAAAAGTGTCTGTCTGCCATAATAAATAACAGATCAATGCATTAAAATTAATATCATGAGACTTGCTCTGTTTCCTCACAGGTTGGGTTTTGAATCAATCTGACCCCATCAAAAACACAGTTCACTCACAAATGATGTCATCATTTACTCACCCTCATGTTGTTCCATACCTGTATCACATTCATTCTTTCACACTTTCAAAAGAAGATATGTTGAAAAATGTCGGTAACCTAAAAGTTTTGGTTACCATTGACTTCCACTGTATACGGATATAAAAACACATTTCTCAAAATATCCTCATTATATTGTTCCACGGAAGAAAGAAAGTCATACAGTTTTGGAATGAGGGCAAATGATGACAGAATTTTCATTTTTCAAAAGTGAAAAATCTTTCAAGCCATGAAAAAACGACAACTAAAAAGAAAAGGTCTCTATGAAATGTCTGTGTGAAAAGTTCCAACCCCAAATGATGTTTACTGTGTTAAATGTAAAACAACATTTAAAATGTACAATGTATTATTATTATTTTTTTACTTTTGTGGTAAAAGTAGCTGTTCTAGACAAATTTGAGTGAATTGTTTAAAACACTGTAATATCAGACTGCAGTGTTGAATATTTAATTATTTTATTCAAACTCAAGGGTATTTCACTATTGGGTAGTCCAGTCATGTGTTGTGCTATGCCAGAAAATGACACCCTGCAGTGGTTTCACAGTAAAGTTCTGACTGCTAAATCCAATAAAATAATTTTTGTAAAAAATAGTTTCATAGTATCTTTATGCTATGTTTGGCACAAGATTCACAGCTCCACAAGCTGTGGAAACATCCAAATATCCTCAGTTCTGATATTCTTAATAAAAAATAAAATAAAGTTAAATTAATTAAATCAGTGGTGGAAGTGATTTAAAATGTGCATTTAAAATACACACCGTGATATATTCAGATAGTTCCTTCATTTTATGTTGGCTTAGCTACAAATAATTAAGTTGTAAACTTACACACCTTACATTTTTTTTAATTAAAATTACCAAATTATTCCTGAATGATTCTGATGATTGCTAATTTCTGAATGATTTTTTGGTATATTTTTCCACAAAAGAAGTTCATTCTGACTGACTCCTTCCACTGTGCTTTTTTATTAGGAGCTGTCCATCCTCGTTGGTGCTGAAATCAAACAGGGCGCGCGCTCTTCCCGCCACCTGTGTGCAGCACACTTGCCCCAGCAAGCACACTTAACCACTAGTGCCTTACCATATATGACACGCCAAATAAAGTATACGAACATGGAATGTTCAATGGCACAACTTACCGGACTCCACACGAAAGGTCTACGCGCCGTAACTGATGTCACCATCACGATGAAATGCGACGCAGCCACCAGGATACCGAACAAAATCGCCAAGAGCGTCCTGACCGGAAGCAGAGAGTAGGCAACAAATGTAACGAGCATCAGCTGCCAGACACCTTGCTCAGGTGTTATGCTCGGTGCGTCAGGTGCCAGCGCGCCCTGCGTCCCGTGACCCAGTGCGAGAGGAAACGGGCAACAGAGCAGCGCGAACGTGAAGCTGAAGAGCAGCGCGAGTCGCGCGATCTGCTGCAGCTGCGTGACCTGCAGATATTTGACGTTGGTGACGATGAAGAGTGAGGTGAAGATGACGCAGTGGACCGGGTGCGAGCCCTTGGACACGGTGAAGCGCGAGCCGGCGGACAGCAACTCCACGAGCGCCAGCGCGGACGCGGCGAGGATGAGGATGGCCAGCGCTTTGAGCGTGGCGTTCTGCTCAAGCTTCAGGTTGTACTTCTGGAAGAGAGTCTCGAGCTCCTTGCAGTCAAACTCGCGCTCACACGCACCGGCCAGGCAGCGACTTTTCCTCCGCCGCGTGCGGACTCTGGGAAACGGAACTTCCTCCATAACGGGGCCATTCATACAGCCAGAGCTCTTCTTCACAAGCACCACATGTTCGGCACTTGTTGTCGCGGTCCTGGCGGCAACTGTCGCGCCTCAACACGGACTCGCGCACACTGACCCCAGCGCTAGACTGTATCTAATCCGCAGCACGCGCCGCCACCATCCACAGGTTGGTGACTGTAACGAGCGCAGACAGCACCCGCCTCCTCTTTTCTCTCCCTCGCGCTCTCTCTCCTCCCTCCTCAAGGCGGTCTCCAGGGAACAGACCACCCGTAGCGTTTGTTCGGCCCCAGAAAGAGGTTAACATCGATCACACAGAGCCGGGACTCCCCTCTCCGCATCCCACAGCTGCATCTCAGCGCCGCGGCCGGATCACGCATGCGCAATGTCAGCCCGCGATTGAGAAACCAAGCACGTCTCCCAGTCCTCAAAAAAAGATAAGACAAGACAGCAGAGCAGCTCTGACAGGGCTCGTCTTAAATGGAAAAACAGCATGTTGCAGTCTTCATGTATGACGCTACATCGTGTGTATTAAACGAATGATGTTTTCCTTTCGACACACCAAAACAGAAATAACCCAGGAGAGTCTCCCCGCCGCGCGCCTATAAATAGCACGCTGATCAGTGGCCTTTTAATTAAGCACTTTAACTCCAGCTCGAGCCTTTGTTTGGAGTGCCGTTACCGATCCGGCAGCGGAGCAGGTGTTGTGGATTACAGATCGCATTCATCTTTTATTCTCGCGCATCTGCGTCTAAATTGATTACCGCCGGGTGCCTAAGTGGATTTTTACGTTGGGACAATGGGGTTGAGGAGGTGTGCCCGCTCCTCCATTCATGACGAGCTGCTTGTGTTCATTTGGCTGCTGTTAAATGGCATGTCAAGAGAGCGCTCGAGTCCCACTTGGACCTTAAACCCATAGAAGCAGACTATACGGGCGCCGTTATGACCCTGACTTTTACTCACAGCCCCCGCGAGGCGACCTCTGACAACAAATAATTCGGTCATAATAAATAACAATTGTATTATTAATTAACATAACATAAGCGTTGATGATTTTTAGTTTGTTCAAATTATCTAAAGTTTCCATGAAATCAAAACTGACAATTCCCTTATTTTTTATATTATAAGAGAATTAACCGTGCACTTCATTCTTTTTTTAAGGAGCCCCTAAAGGGACAACTTGAAGAAAAAAAATATGAGTTGAAGGAAAAAATATTTGTCAATACTTATTCTATCGCAAAGCATTGCGTTCCCCCGAGAAACGTTGTGTTCCCTCGCAAAAACTTTGCGTTCGCTCGCAAAAAGCTCATACATTATTTTTTTTCGCGAAGCCTCTTCACTCTGATATGTCACAATAGAGAAGAAAAAAACTATCGTAACTTTCGTTTCATGCCGACTTTAATGACCGATCGCACTATGAACAATAACTGTAAGGACAAAGTTTTAAAAACTGCTCTAACTCGAAGAAAATTAAAGAGAGCACACCACAACGATAACAATAAGAGAAAAGATATTGTTGGAATCACTTTCAGAGCGTTTTTTTTTTCCAACTGACGAATGATAAAAACATTGAAAGCCAATCAATGAAATGCATCAGACTTTAAAGTGTGCACTACAGAATTTGCTGCATGTTTTTAAAATAAACATAATGCTGCTGTGGACGCCTATAGTTATCATTACGGTTATCGTTATAGTTTCTGTTGGTGTGAACCAGCCTTTGATATTAATAAAGCAGTACCTACAACCGTACTGTATGAGCAGATAGGAGCATTTCCATTTCTCGTTCAATGTGAGTTTTGACATCAAAACCAAAGCTCGACAATTTCAAAATCTCACGTTAACAGGTTTTCCTTGTGTTATCAGGTTTTCAAATGGCCTTTTTAATCACAAAATCGTGTCAGTATAGTTCTGCTGTCTATTCAGAATCCCCTGAAGCAGAGAAATAACCCAGAATCATCTTGTTTTAGTAGCTTGGGATCAAAAAGACATCATTCAATCAAACCGTAACACCATAGAGGAGGTTAGACGTTGAAATGCTGAATTGTGTGTGGGTTGGTTGTGGCAAGGGAGCATGCGTGTATTATTTATGAGGCCTTGATTAAACATGACTATGGCTTGTGCTGTAGAGAGTATGATCTGTAACTTTATATCCATCTGGCTGCTGCTCAGATTTATTGTGAAGAAGCTGTTTATATTCAATAAGTACACTTCAGATAAGCCGAGCTGGCACTCAGCAGAACGGTAACTGTCAGAATGATCACAATACATAACCGTTAGCACCTCTGAGAGATCCATGAATCTCATAATTGCGATAATTAAAGGCTGACGTCTAATCAGGCTTCGGAGAGACTTGTTAGTGATGTTTCTCTTACAATTCATGACATTAGACTTCCTTCAGTGGCAATCACTCAAACCCGCAGAGCAGTTAGAAGTTATTTTAGTCCATTCCTCAAATACAGTTTCAGTTCATGTGTATTTTGGGGGCATCTTGATCGCATGGCCTGCTTTTGATCGCACAGCTTGCAGTAGATGCCTGTGTTGGCTGGTAGAGCCGCCCCAGCACTTATCCTCATAAAAAGTCTGTCAACATTATGAATTAAATCTAAACCCTACTGTGCCTTTTCAGCTTATCAGGCTGATTTAGTCATCTCATCTATTTTAGACTGCTTCCCTTTCCTGTTAAAGAAACAGATTTAGTATCTGCCACTTTATTTACACCTGACTTTCAACTTGTTATTTTAACATAGATTTATATCAATCCATCTATGGATTGATCTGTGCTTGTGATTTGATGTTGCTCACTGTTTGCTAGAGGCGTTTGAGTGATTGATTTTTGAACGTTTTATTGACCCCGATAACATCTCTCACAGATTCATCTGATGGAAAACAGTTTGACCAGATTTGAATAGTGCCATTAAGGTGAACAACCAGCAGGAACATGTTTTTTAATTTTTAAAATTAAATTAGCATAAAACATGCTTTTGAGAAATAGCTATTAATTGGGAGCAACAGGTCAGGCACATTTGGCTCTTTCTGTTCTCCTCATTTACTCATCAATCCATGTATGTCAATATGGGGGGATATTCAGGAACTTTGTATTGAGGGGGGTCTAGAAAACATGTTTTTTACATAAGGGGTCAATGCTTATAACTGTAATTATTCTTGGTCCTGTGAATTCAAGTGACTGAATGAGATTGCAAATTATTGCTGTACATTTTTTTTTAGCATGACACAAAACACTAGCAATGTTTTTGAAGAGAACAAAATCTAGAAATAATAATATTATTATTATTATAAAAAGGTTCAAAATGTTGTATTTCAATAGTGCACATACTGTTCAAAAGTGGGGACAGATTTTTTTTATTATTAATTATTATTTTTATTCATCAAGGTTGCATTTAATTAATCAAACATGACAGTAAATACATTTTAAAAAATCTATTTCTAATAAAATACTTTTTACACCTTCTATGTATCAAATAATTCTGAAGTTGATAATAAGAAATGAATCATTTTAGAGTGATTTCTGAAGGATCATGTGACACTGAAGACTGGAGTAATAATGCTGAAAATTCAGCTTTACATCACAGGAATAAATTGCATTTTAAAATATATTAAAATAGAAAACAATTATTTTAAATTATAATAATAGTTCACAATTTTACTGTTTTTACTGTATTTTTTATCAAATAAACAGCCTTGGTGAGGATAAGAATATCATAAGAGAGAATCTTACAAACCCTAAACTTTTGCACAGTAGTGAAATATTATTTCAGGGGATCAAGTTTTCCAAATAGTAGTGTTCACATGTTGGTTTTGTTGATACATGTTTAAATTAATATAAAAATATAATAAAATTCGTTTCATTTAGCACTTTTTCACACAAAAAATCGAAGGGGAGAAAAGTGTGATCACTGATCTCAATGTCGTTTGACTGAATGGAGATTGCACTTAATTAAGGATACTGTACCTTCAAGAGACAGTCCACAAATAGAACATATGATAGATTACATTTTAGATTAGGCTACAATTACCCGTTTTGCATAACAGATGTTTCGAGGCCAAAGTTTCCATGGCTGTATGAATATTTCTACATCACATTTGTCATTTTTATTGTGCCTGATTAGACAAAGGACAGGGCGCGTTCATGTCAGTGATGTTCCAACACTTTGCTCTCTCGTACGAAAGAGTAAGACTCAGCTAATGCTTGTATCACCGTGCCAGTCTTAGACACAGCAGGAGCTAAAAATGGACAGATAAGCAAGGGGGTGGGAAAAGACGCAAAAAAAAGAGAAAGCAAGAGAGAGAGAGGTCCCCTGCTTCTACACCATCCTGTTTTCACAGATTAGCTTTTTATTGATCTACCTCTCACCTGCTCCCTCTCTCAATTTCTCCCGTACACGCAGACACGTTCTCTTTGAGTGCAGCAACCTACTAGTGGCAGCGGCCCCGCATTTCTTACACCTACACGCACTCACACACACATATGCAAACAGATTTTTCCTTTTCATCTGTGTATTCCTCTCTGCCAGGGCCTTTGTAAGTAAAGAGACTCTAAGAATAGCAGTCAGTCAGATGAACACCTCAGAACCGTCTGCTTCCAAAGGAGTTCCGCTGTGCGTGTTTGTGTGCGTGTGTGTCTCTGGAGTAAGAGAGACAGAAGAGAAATGAGAACAGACAGCTTTACACGCACCAGTCTCCTTGCATTATATTTGGATAGTAACAACAGGCATACATACACAGGCGTACAAAACAGATACACACACACACACACACACACGCAATGACAGCTTGCAGTTTGGAACCTCCGTTCCACGTCCTGGTTGGTGGGCAGGGGTTGCGTTACCATAGTAACAGAAAAAGGGAGCTCCCAAGGCCCCTCCTATATGCACAAGTGCTGCAAGTGCACCATGTACGTAAACATGCATTTGGCGGGTAAGTCTTTTTTGTTAAAAACCCCCACCCCCTCACTCCAAAAAAAGCGAGGAAAAATACACTTTAAATTCCAAAACTGCAATTATGATATGACAATTATGTGGGTATTGCGAAGCTGCACAAACGCTAAAGCGAACAAGTTTTCCAAAATGTCAAAAAGAACTTAGAAAAGGGTTAGATGACCCAGAAACTTCCCACTGATTTCCTGTGACTAGACACGGGTCACTTCCTGTTCTGGTGAAAATGTCTAATTCTGGCATGAGTCACACAGTGTTTTTGCCCTTTATATAACATACGCACACCAGCTCAAAAACATACAACTTATGAGTTACCTAGCGAAGACATGCCGTTTTGTGTTTATAACCCTGCCTAAGCTGATGTGCTGGATTAAGCTGGTCTAGATGTGATCCCACACTGCAAATATGAGCTGAGGAAGCTAATTCATCTGCGGATTTTTATTAGGGGTTTGGTAGTGTGTTTTGGGTGGTTGGTAGGGCGTTACTAGGGTGTTGGTGGTTATTATGACA